GAACGCCTTTCAGCCACCTAACCACAGGTGGCTTTGACCTTGAGCCCCCATTTCCTCCTCTGTAGGATGGGGGACCAGCCTGTCCTGGTGGGTGGCAGCGTGGGAACAGGCCTCTGCTGCACCTTCTCTTCGTTCCAGCCATGTGGGAGCTGGGCTGGCACAGCTTCAGCAGACACTGACCCTGCCTGGCCCTCCGCGAGACTGGGCAGGACAGTGCCAGCCGGGGCCCGGGGCCCAGGCCTGCCCTGGCTTTCCTGACACGAGCCCCTGCGTGTGTTTTCCCTCCCCTCCGTGGGAGAGCCTGGGTCCTCACCGGCCAAAGCAGCCGCAGGAGCCGTGTTCTCAGCCAGGCACTCAGAGCCTGCACCTCACAGGCTCCCTGGGCTGGCTGCAGCCTGGACCAGGGGGTCCAGGGGGCTCAGGGGGTTCAGAGGACAGCCTGGGGCTGATATTCCTGGCCAGTGCCTCTCAGCTAAAATCAAGATGAAGAGGATGACCCCCCCACCCCCCACCCCCAGCAGTGGTGAGAATGATGCGTGGCTAGGACTCAGCCTTAGCGGCTGCCTGCCTGGTACTTCCGGACCGGGTCCGCATGAGCATCGTGGGCAGGAGCAGAGGCCTGCCACCCCCTGGGGATGCAGACAGAGCCGGACAGGGCCCGATGGGATTTGAGAATCAAGTTCCCGAGAGTCCAGGTCCTGCCTGGTGCATGTGAGCAGGTAGGCTGGAGGCCTGCCCAGCCATTCTCGGTTGAAGGGCCTAGCAGGCCTTCTTGAGGCTCTCAGAGCCTCAGTTTCCTCATCTAGGGAATGGGAATAATACTTGCTACCTCTCCCTAGCAGGTGAAGGAGGCAGGGCCCTAGAAAACCAGTGCTCTGGTAGGAGACCAGTTTAGGGATTGCAGCCTGGGCCTTGCAGATGAGGCTGGCTGCCTCCTGCTGCAGTCCCTCCCAACGGCTGCCCACTGCTGGAAGTCTATTTTCATTTATTGTTACGATAAAGGTGTTGTACAGAGTGTAAGTGTTTACTTTCGTACCTGCACTGGAACTTGAACTTAAGTGGCTTTTTTGCTCAAGGCTGGTCCCGTCACCTCCGCCATACATACACTTCTGGCTGTTGGCTGGTTATTTGGAGGTAAGAGTCTCATGGACTTTTCTACCCCAGCCGGCTTCACATGGGGATCCTCAGATCTCAGCCTCCTGAGTTAGCTAGGATTACAGGTGTGAGCCTCCAGGCTCGGCTGTAAGGTGTTTATTTCTTCACCTTTCACACAGGCAGGTTTAGTTCCCCCCCCCCCCCCCCCAACAGCCCCAGAACAACCAGTGAGGCTGCACTAGGCTGCAGAACGTCCTCCTCCAAGACAAGTTGGTAAACGAACACAGGTACCCCTCATCCCCCAAACAACCACCGCAGAGACAGCCGCCTGAGTTGTCCTAAGTACATGGAGCAAACATGTGACCCCTCCAAAGCTGACGACAGGGCCATGGCTTTAGACTGCCTGTGGGGTCACTTATACACGCATGGAAGTAGATAAAGGAAATACTCAGCGTGGAATTCTGGGAGAGATGCTGAACAGGACAGGGTGGAGTTGAACTAGTGGGCGGTCCGGTGAAAGTGCTCCTTAAGCAGGTTCTCCGGCCAGCCTGCGGGCGGTGAGCTCCGCACACCCTGGCCAGGCTCTCCAAGCCACAGCTGCTGGCCACAATCAGCAGAGGGCCGGAGCAGCCGAGGCCGGGCCCCCATGGAAACTAGCTGTCCTTTGCAGCGTATGGGACATCCACTCCCCGACCCCATAGCTACAGAGCAGCCCTGCTCCATCTTCTATTGGGGGGGGGGGCGGGGCAGATGAGCACAGCTGGCAGCAGGTGCAGGAAGCAGAGCCATCGAGGACGCCGGGCTCCCTGGCCTCAGGTACTCTGGATGAGGCCGCTGCACCCGTCTGCCTCCATGCTAGCCTGTGCTGCAGACCCTCGCTGGGCACAACCCAGCACAGGGCCCAGCCGGAGCCTCAGGGAGAGCAAGCCAAGGTTCAGGGAAGAGGAGGGGCTATGGCGATCCACAGAGCCATGCTCTGTTTCTAGGGAACAGGGGGAGGGCAGACGCAAGCCCCAGGGACATCAGCGAGGGCCTCGATGGCTGTGGCCAGACAGCCTGTGTCATGATCGAAGAGCCGAGGACCAGTGTTCCAGGCTGGACAAAGGACACAGCGTGCTAGCAGACAATGGGAACTTTCCTCAGCTGGCAGGAATCCAGCTTCGGGCCAGGGTGTTTGGGTTTGCTCTGAAGCCCACTCGGCAGGTCTCTGGGGCACGCAAGGCTTGCTCAAGGTCATTTTCTCCCTCACTGGCAGGATTAAAGGCAGGCCAGCAGGCCCATGTGCAGGGTGACCCCTGTAACCACCAGAGGCTTTGGCAGCATCCGACTTCCAGAAGTGACACTGGTGACATCAGAGCAGCTGTCAGTTTGCTACAGCAAACCCAGACCCTTCCATGACACCAGCAGAAAAGAGACTGGCGCGGGGTGGACCCCTTCCTTGGTTCTCTGGGTGAGGACAGCCGCAGAGAGCTGATACTCAAGTATCCCGGAGCAGAAGGGAACCCACTTCTGTCCCCAGGCAGGGCTGCAAGGGATCCTCAGACTAGGCCCAAGGCGTAGGAGAACGTGAGCCCCTGGACCGCCTCAGCCGTGAGTCACACCCACTGAACATGCAGGGCCAGGCCATGGAGCAGAAGCAAGTGACCCAGTGGGGCCATGGAGGTGGCTCCAACCAGAGGCAGCACGGCCACACCTGAGCAGACCTCAACCAGGCACAGTGCCCACTGAGGCCCTGGGGATGCCAACCATGGCTGATGTCTGGGGACAGGTGGACATTCAGAAGACAGGCTTCTCTCATCCTGGTTACTTAAATCTCCCCCAATGGGCAGCCGATACTTCGTTCCTGCTTTCTGGACAGGACCTCACAGCCACCAGGCCTTGGCAAGACACAAATCCATCCCGATTTCCACCCTAGAAAATGCGACTGTCACCCATCATCACCGTGCAGGCCTGAGTTAAATGCCACATTGGTAAGGCCTGGGTACCACCACACATGACCTGACAGTAAGTAATAAGCCACTAAGGAATAAGCACCTGGATCACACCAAAACCCCCGACTGCTTTTGGGCAGACTGGGATTGTAATTTATCTGGGACTTGATCTCAGGTCCTCAGCTGGTGTTCTACCACTTGAGTCATGCCTCCAGCCCAGATTTTTGCTAGTTCCTGCCCAGGCTAGTCCTGAATTGGGATCCTTTGGATCTCAGCCCACTGAGCAGCGAGGATTTTTTATTTTTTATTTGCCAGTCATGGTGCCTGAACTCTGGGCCTGGGCACTGCCCCTCAGCTCTTCAGCTCAAGGCTAGTGCTCTACCACTTGAGCCACAGCACCACTTCCAGCTTTTTCTGCTTATGTGGTACTGAGGAATAGAGCCCAGGGCCTCATGCATGCAAGGCAAGCGCTCTACCACTGAGCCACCTTCCCAGCCCCTAGGATTTTTTTTATTATTATTAAAAGGTAGACTGGTTTCACTGAACATCTTTCTCAAGACTGTCAACAGAAGAGAGGGAGTGATTTTTTTGTAAACACGTGAAATTCAGTTTGATTTCAGTAGTTTATTTTGGAGACGAAGCAGTGCAAGAGGCCCAGCCGCTTCCCTGCCTCCGGGGCTCAGGGCTGGACCTGGGAAAGGTGACACAGACACAGATCAGGATCAGCACTGGCCTCCTGTGAACTCGCTTAGTCCCGGCAGCCTCTGCTCTCGCCCACCAGCCTGTCCTTGCCCTTGTATCTGCGGGACAGCTCAGGGGCCGTTTTCTCTTTTTAAAGTGAGCAGACAAGGTAGACTCACAGGGGAGTGCTGGCTCCACATGCTGTGGGGTAGAGGAGGTTCTCTGTCCTCCCTTCCTGTGGAGCTCGGGGCTGGCCAAGCTCTCCTGCTGTGGTAGAGACGCGGTGAACGTGAGGCGGGGCTGCCGCTCCTGGGCGGCCTGGCTTAGCGCTTGCTGCCTGGGCTTGTGATGAGTACAGACGGATGGCCTTGGACCTGCTGGACCAGGTAGGGGTGAGCAGGAGCGAGTCGCTGGCCAGGAGGGGCCCAGATGACCCTGGTGTCCAGCACAGGAGGTCCTCATCCAGGAGGTGGCCTTGGAGAAGCAGGCTCTCTGGGCTGGAGCACTTGGCCAGCCCTTCGGATCTCTGGTCTGACCACTCATGACAGACGATGATGAGATAGAGGCCCCGACTCCTGGGAGGATTTGTTCAAAGCCTTGGCAGAAACCTGGGCAGAGGCTGGCATGGGCGGCTGAGCCCGGGCTGTCAGGCCTCCTCCCTCCTGGGTCCCAGGGAGCAGCCCTGCCGCTGGGAGGGGCCTGTGCGCTCTAGCAGGTGACAGCGGCCAGGACCACGGCCTCCACCCCTGGGAAGCTTCCCTCCTCTTGTCTCTCAGGTTGCGAGCACAACCCAAGTCCCACAGCACAACCCAAGTCCCACAGCGCCTTGTTCCCCGCGCGAAGGGGCCCTCAGCCTCCTCCCCGCCTCTGGGGAGGAAGAAGTCAGCTGTCGGCTGAGGCTGCAGCCTCAGCGGGCAGCCAGCCAGCCAGCCGTGGAGACTGCAGGAGGGAAAAGAAGGGCCGGGTCCAGGTGTGGGCTGGAGGGGGAGGAACCGTTCACTGCTTGCTCAGCCACACAGCCTGCCCTGCGGGGAGGAGCCGCAGAAGGCCTCCCTCCCGGATCCCCACGGCAGCCACGGAGACGGACACAGACGTGCACTCACACTTGCAGGGCAACCACTCGCACACGCGCAACCCCCCCTCCCCCCCATGCAGACCTAGTGTTGAAAACGCGAGCGTGTGTAAACTCAGTGGGGGTTCTGCACAGCAGGAGCGCTCTTCTCCATCCCCACCCCCCATCCAGACCCCAACATCAGAGAATCAGGTTAACAATTAAAACAAAGAAGCATCAGATCTTCGGGAATTCTTAGTAGCGTCCTCGATGGGAGCCGCTGGCCCAGCGGGCGCGCTCCGTGCTCCGTGCTGCCCCTCTGGGTCCCGGCTCCGTGGCTACTGCGAGGAGGCCTTGGTGGCCAGCGAGGCCACGCAGTGCTGCTGGAAGCTGGGCGACACCCCCGTGGTGCAGCTGAGTCTCTGGTGCGGCAGCTTCGCAGAGCCGCCTGCGCCCACTCCGCCGGCCTCGGCCTCTCCCTTCCAGGGCGCGTCCTGGCCCATCATGCTGCTGCAGCAGCCGGGGCTGGCGCTGCACGTCCGCTCGCCCGCCAGGCTGCCTGCCTGCTCCGCCAGGAGCCGGCTGTGCCTCAGCGGGGCCACATCCCCCGTGGCGGGTGGCGGCAGTGGCGGCGGTGCTCTGGGCCTGCAGGACGCTGGCGATGTGGTTCAGGAGGTCCGTGAAGAACTCACTCACACCCTCGTAGCCTGCGGTGGGGGAGACAGAGACATGGGGTGTTAGCCGGGAAGACGAGAGAGGAAGAGGAAGTAATGAGCTCAGAAACTGCGGGCGGCACTGGCTGACTTTGAAACAAAGATTCCGCGGCTTTCAATTTATTACTCACCGATTTAGAGTTGTTTTTTCTGTCGAACATTAATTTGATCCCTTCCCCCAAAATCGTGGATCTTGGAGTTCCATTTCCAAAGTTAAAACTTAGTGGCCACCAAACGAAAAATTTACATCTCAGAATTCCAAGTTTTAAACAAAACACCACTGTAAAAGGCTGCTGGTAAATGCCTGGTGGCAGTGAAGAATAGGGAAGGTAGGGCTTGTAGCATAAGCATAGTTCATTTCCTTCCTTGTATTTTCTCAGCAGGGGAAGACAGCCTTAGACAGGGAAAATTTCTTTTGTAAGCAGTTCAAAATTGTTCTCTTGGGATATCAGAAAGCAATGTTTTTGTTCTCTAGTATCTCTTATTATTATTCTTATTCTTGGCTTACGTTAGCTGTATAGGAGATGGCACTGCTACATTTCTGGATATTTACAATGTATTCCAATCAGTCTCAGCCTCTCCTCACTCTCCTTTCTCCTCTTCCCCCTCCCCAAACAACCTGAACAGGTTTCACTGTTCTTTTCTCGTGATTGCAACCGATTTCGTCCTCTTTCATCCTCCGTGTTGGCCCAACCCCTCCTGCTGGTCCCCAGCCCCACCCCAGGAATTCAGGTACAGTAACAAGGCTGGTTAACATGCGCCAATGTGGCAAGATGCAGCAGAGCCAAGGCCTGGTCCTCCTGCTTGGGATGATGAACAGATGGGCGCCCTGGGACCCGGGACCGGGGACCCAGCCGAGTCTAGCTTCAGGCCTGACTGGTGGCCACTGTGTCTGTTCCCAGCCTCCGCTCCCTTGCTTGTATGTTGAGAGCACTCTGCCTCCAAGGCCATCACAGAGAGTCCCATACCTGGGTGGTGTCCGATCCCCCCCCCCCCCCCCCCCCCCCGTAGCCACGACCCAAACTGAGTTTGTTCCCACCCAGCAGCACCACAGGCAGCCCTCTGGGCCCCGTGATCTGAGCGTCAGCACCCAGGAGCAGACCGACCCGGCCAGGCCTGGGTCTCTGGAATAGGAACACCACACATAGACGCAAATGTCAGCAGGTTCCACACTGAGGGTGAGGATCTTGCTGACACCGAACAAAGACCCAGAATCCAGGGTGCCCCTCTTTCCCCACTGCGCAACTTTGTGGGGTTGAGAACAGTACCCAGAGCAAGCAGGTGAGAGAGAGGTGCGCAGGCGTGGGGAGGCTCTGGGCACAGGCCCCCACAGGGCTGTGACCACCGCTGTGGCTGGCGGTGTGGGGCAGATGCTGGCAGGGGAAGGGTCCTGGGGGCCGGGCTGTGCTGGGCCAGGCCACCAGGAAACCAGGCAGGCCGTTTCCCTGCAACTACTTCATGGCAGGTGAGGCCGCGCACACCAGGGCGGCCATGTGCTTCCAGAGTGGGGCGGAGCAGCCACCCAGGGCTGGAAACCCGCTGTGCACCATATAAGCCATCCTGCCGTGTCCGCAGGAAGTGCGCACAGGGCTGAAGTGAGGGGCCCTGAACCATCACAGACGGAAAATGCAGGGCCAGGATTTGACCTCAAGGTCAGAGACGAGGCTGGGGGCTGCGAGGCTTCAGTCCTGGCCCTGCGACTGGGGTTCTCCTAAACTGAAGACAGGTCTGCCAGCCCCGGCCCCACACCACGGGTGAGCAGAGCGGGTGGCAGTCTAGTGCCGGCCTGCAGCTGTGAGGACGAGACGAGGCTACCCCAGCTCTCAGGGCAGGCCTGGTGCATGGTGGGAATCAAGCATGCTGCTACTGCTGTTCCTCCTTTCCAGGCCCCAGAACTGGGCCTCTACCCCCAAGAGGCTGAGGCAGCCCTTGGGGCGGGAAGGAGGGGAGTAGTGGGCCTGAGGCACTGTCCCCCTAGGCCTGCTCACAAAGCTATCTCCCAGGTACCAGTTGCCAGCTGCCTGGGGCTGTGGGGCCGTCTCTTAGCACTGAGCTTGGGGCCTCTGCGGGGCTCAGCCTCACCCCTGCAGCTGCAGACTCTCCTCTGGTGTGGCTCCTGCTTCATCTGTGATCTGAGCACCCACAAGGCCTTCATTCCCCCATTCTATACCGCCACCAAAACCACCCCCAAAACACCCAGGCGACCGGGGAAGCAAAGCACCCTCCCGGGAGTCTGACGGTCCTTGCCCGATCACAGAAGGCCCCTCTCCAGCCCCTGGAGGTCCCGCTGCGCCCTCTTGGGTGGCGCCTCCTCCCTCCTCGTTGGGCTGGGCTGTGGCGGTGCTGCCTCCCGGAGGAGTGTCAGGAGAGTGGAACCAGCAGCCCTGCCTGGAAAATGCCAGCTGAACGGCTAAAGGCGCGGGTGGGCTCCTCCGAGCCTGGGTTTTTCCACCTCAGACTGTGATGCTGGCAGCAGTGGCTCTCTGCCCCCTGGCAAGGGCGGCCTGGCGGAGGGAGGAATGGCTTTTGGAAGGTTCACACAGTGCTTTGGGTTTGCTCTCCTCCTCAGCCAGCACTAAGGAAAGGCAAGCGTCAAGCCAAGGAGATCCCCGCTGCCTGGGAGGCTGAGTCAGGAGGATCGATGGAGCGCAGCAGGTTGGTGGCAATGAGCAAGTACAAGGGCCTGTTTCTGCCATGTGCAACCAAAGCTCATTCGCCTCTAATCTCAGTAAGGATGCACAGGCCGCAGGGCCAAGGCGCTCTACACGCACCTGGTGAACCCCAGCCACGCCACATATGCGACCCCCATTGTCCCTGCCAGCCAATGGTCCCAGGCTGGGGCTCGGCTGGGGATAACGGCCAAGCGCCCCAGAGCTCAGGGCAGTGGCAGCAGCGCCAGCCCGGGGTGCCTGTCCTGGTCATTCATGTGCTCTGTGATCTGGGCAATTCCTCCACTTCAGGAGCCTTCGTTTCCCAGCATGCCAACGGTGGGGGCTTGTGTCCCCTTCGAAGTCCTTCCAGCTCCTTAGGTCTGGAGGATCCAAGAGATGGAATAATTTGGCCAATCAGTTAATGCTGGTGCAAGAACCAGTGCTCAGGCTGTGTGGGCCTGGAGCTCCCTAGGGGCTCGATGCCCAGGGTTCCTCCACCCTGCCCAGGACTGGCAAGCCCTACCTGTGTGGCAGGGCTCACACACTGGCTTCGCCCCCATGCTACAGGCTGGGCTGGGGCTGCCCAGAGGGAACAGCAGCCTGACCGCACGGGGGGGGGGGGCACCTGAGGCCGAGTGCAGGGGCGCCGGGCCGCTCTCACCTGGGAAGGCGTTGATGTCGATGATGGCGTGCTGCCCCGTCTGGTTGTTGATGATGATGTCTATCCCGAAGAGCGACACGCCCAGCGCCTGCCGCAGGGCGCTGGACAGCGCTCGGATCACCTCGTCGCTTGGCCGCTCGAATACGCCTTCGATCTTGTCCAGCTGCCAACACACACAGAGGTCAGGCTGGGGGGAGGAGGGGCCATGCCCTGCCGCGCAGACACACCCGGATATGAGCTGCCATCCTCGAAGCCAGGAGGCAGGGCAGACCCAGGACCACCGCTGTCCATGTCCCGCCAGGACCGGGCATGCGCTGGTGGGTGGTGGCAGCACTACCTGGGGGCAGTGTTGGCGTCTGCACTTTACATACAGGGAAATGGGCTCAGAGAGGGCCTAGAGTGGATCCAGGGTCACACAGCCTGAAGCACAGGGATTTGGAGCCAGATTTTCCAACCTCTAGAGACTACCTAGACAGTGAGCTGGGCTTTGAAGGTGGGAGGATTAGGCCCTGGGCAGGGCCCAGCAGAGCAGAGCACACAGGTTGAGAGTCTGCGGGAGATGGCTGGGAACGGCGGGGTGCAGAGCCAGGCACGGGTATGGATAGACGTCCTGACCACCACTACCCCCGCCTACCTTTACTGGTGGACTGAGGGCGTGAAGTTTAGGGTTTTGAGGAGCGGCTGTCAGTCCTCACAGAACTGGGAGGCAGGCACGTCTGTCTTCCTAACCAGCGTGAACTAAGGGAAGCTCCCATCTCGCCAGCTGGCCTTTGCCAAAGGGGCTGCTCGCTGCTGTGCCCACTCGACTCTGGGGTCCATGTCCAGCCCGCAGCGAAAGGCCCCCTACTTTCTACCCTGCCCCCAAAGACACCCAGCCCACTTGCTTTCTGCTCTAGCCTGACTAGGGACAGGTGTGGAGGAGGAGGAGTCAGGGGATCGGGATTCAAATGCTGGTAGCATCTCCCCAGTTCTGGGACTTAGGAATAAGGAGGTCTGTGACATGGTAGGGACAGTGAGACCTGAGGGGTACCCCTAAATCCTGGGGAAAACAACAAGGCACATATGAAGTGCCTGATCATTACTGGAGATCTTGCAGTGGTTCTCTGAGGATCAAAGAGGAAATGCAGCTGGACTACAAGGTTACAGTGAAAACTCCCACATGCCCCAGCAAGTCCTGGTCCTGGCAGGCTTCCGTCCGGGGCCCGATATCGGGACTCACAGAGACGCTGACCCCAGTGCTCACTGCAGCACTATTCCCAATGGTCCAAGGTGCCAGCAACCAGTGTCCATCAACGAGTGAATGGACAGCTCGGGGACCTGTGGTCAGGAAATAGTGTCTGACCACAGGAAGGACAGACTATGAAGAACCCTGGGAAGGGAGAGAAGCTGTGTTCCATTTATACAAATGTCAGAAGCAGGCCAACACACAGATCAGGGCTGCTGGGTGCTGGGAGTAGAAGGAACGGGCAGAGTGCTCACAGGAACAAGGAGAGAAAAGGTTTGGAGCTAGACAGGGGCAGCTATGCGATGTGGATGCCAATGTGCACTGTTGGCTTTAAAATGGTTAAATTTATAGCTGGGCACTGGTTGCTCACACCTATAATCCTACTACTCAGGAGGTAGGGTGGGCAGGAAAGTCCCTGAGACTTTTTTTTTGGTCGGTCGTGGGGCTTGAACTCTGGGCTTGGACGCTGTCCCTCAGCTCTTCAGCTCAAGGCTAGCATTCTACTACTTGAGCCAGAGCCCCACATCTGGTTTTCTAGTGGTTTATTGGAGATAAGAGTCTCACAGACTTTCCTGCCCAGGCTGGCTTTGAACCGCAATCCTCAGATCTCAGGTAGCTAGGATTACAGGTGTGAGCCACCAGCGCCCGGCTTCTCTGAGACTCTTATCTCCAATTAACCGCCAGAAAACCACAAGTGGAACTGTGTGGCTCAAAGAGGTAGAGCACTATCCTTGACTGACAGAAAAAATAAAAGTTAAATAAAATGGTCAAATTTTTCAAAGTGGCTCAAGTGGCAGAGCACCAGCCTTGAACAAAGACAACTAAGCAAAGCAAGACCCTTAGTTCAAGCCCCAGTAAAAGCACTGAGAAAAAAAAAACAACAGAAAAAAATGGGTTAATTTTACCAATCTTAATCTCATCTCAACTTTTTAAAGACCTCAAAGCTGGGTCAGGAGGGACAAGACAAATGGTCACCAAGACAAATGGCCTTTGACTTGAACTGGACAACAAGGACTTCCTGGCATGTGTTCCTCAAGCCACTGCCGCCATTCTTTGAACAGGACCAGGTCTACTCCTGGGCACATGCCTGCTGTGTCACCTGTGGGGAAAGCTGCTGGTCACCCAGCCCAGCGTCTTCACTAAGTCCAAGAACAGGGCAGAGCCTGGCCCCACTGCACGCCTGAGCTGCACAGCAACCTCCTAGACCTCGTTTTCTCACCCCAGCACATGGGGTAACAAAAACACCTAGGCCAAGAAACTGGGAGATCCAGGGGACGGAGGCAGCCCGCTGCTGGGTGAGGCGCAGGCCCCGAGGCCTGGCAGAGAGGCAGCTCTTTCCATCTCCTGATGCGCTGTTTACAAAAGCACTTCTCAGCTCAGTGCTGAGGAATCTCAGAAATCCTCTCGAAAGCATTTGATTATCCCAACCTGAACAGCCAGCCTGGGACCAGAGAAAGGCACAGAAATCCTGCCTGTGGGTTGAACTCCAGTGAAGGGAGGGAGGGGCTAAACACATATCACACAGGGCCCCAGATGGCCCCTGGCCCCTATCCTGGCTGACATGTGCCAGTGAGTCTCACAGAGACACTCTGGGGCAGGATGAGGAAACTGAGGCTCAGGGCCATGGATGGCAGTGGATCCAGTCAGGGCCCATGCCTTTGGTGGTGGTTCTCCTGCCAGCACTGGAGATGGATCCAGGGCCTCCAGCGTGTTAAGCAAGAGCTCTCCCCTGAGCCACACCCCAGTGAGAGCCCAGGTGCCATTCAGCACCCCCGCTGTGACTCAGAAGGGGACCAGGAGCGTGGTCCGCAGGCTCAGGTGGAGCTAAGTCCTTATCAAGGGTACCAGCTGAGGAAAGAGGTGAGATTTCAAGGCCAGTGGGGTTCTTGTCTTGCTCTCCCAACGGCCCCAGGGGGTGTGGGGTAGAAAGATGAATGTGGGCATGCTTTTGGTTACAAGTGTCTGGAGAATGGAGCTGTTGGGCCCACCGGTGAGCATCCAGCAGACTGCCATCCCCAGGGATAAAGGTGGCACTGAGCACATGGGTATCTTTGCAGTGGCAGCTTCATGGAAAGCTGCCAAATACTGGCTCCCACTGACCGCCCTCACGAGCAAGCCTCGAGCCAGAGTGAGAGGAAAGCCTCAAAGATCTAGACGTTTACAGGTTGCTGCCAAAGCTTTTCTGACTTGTTCCTGGGGGGGGGGGGGATGGCGCCTACGTCCCTGTCCACGCTGCTCTATCGACTCTGCAGCACATCCTGGCTCCTCAAAGGAACTAGAGCCTCTCGGGATGGACAGGCCATCTGGTTCCAGCAGAGCAGGAGACCAGGGCAGGTCCCTGGCAGGAAACACGGAGGAGCCAGGCTGGACACTGGGTGGGTGGCGGCTCTCACTGGTGAGTCCAGCAGGGGGAGGAAGAAGGGGAGAGCCACGCCTCCCAGGACACAGGATGGAAGCAATGTGGCAGAGGGCTCTGACTTTAGCCATGGTGGCAAAACTAGACCTATGCTCGACTGCGGCCCTCAGGTGAATTGTGCCTCTGAAGGCGAAGGAAGTGACTAAGTCTCTTTGAGAGGCTCGCTTTTCCTAGGAGGCTTAAGGCTTCTGGGCACCTGGGCTGCGGCCTGGCACACAGGGACATTACTGACCCCCAGCCAGGATGTCTCACGCCACCTCAGTAATCACAGAGTCGGGAGGGAAGGGGCAGTGGTGTTGCCTTGGCCCCATCTGGAGATCAAGGGAAGGAAGATTTTCCACCAGACCCTGTGTGCTCACCACTCACTGCCAGTCGTGTGCACAGAGCAATGCCCACCAGCACAAGGGCCTGAGAGGAGCTCTGGAAGCTACCTGGGCCCTGGGCCCTCCTTCCCACCTTCGCTTGCTAGAATGATCGGCAAACAGCACCCCCATTCCTAAGCCTGGACAGGTGTAGCTCAGAAGAGACATACCTCGGTGAGGACGGACGATGACTCTGGCTTTGACACATTGTGGCTGTTGAAGAAGATGGACTCTCGATCTGAAATGGCAGAGAGGTAGACAGAATTAGGTAGGAATGCAATACCACCACTGAACACTAGAGGACAGCACCACACCAGCCAGGAGCGATCATGTGTCAGGCTGTGTCCAGTGGCAGCACCCGGGGCTCTAGGTAGTTGGGAGCCCCCAGTTGTGCCCTGAATGGACATGTGTCCATTTGAGGCTCCCATTTTAATTTCTCTGCCCACATAAAATGGTTTACTAGGCCCTCTTCATTATAGTCTTACAGTATCTGACCCAGGTGTCATACACGTAAGGCCCAGCCTTATGTGTACACAGAAATGTCACCAAAGGGGGCTGGGAGGAGGGGGCTACGTAAGTGAGACAAAGTCCAAAGGGAAGAGGTCTAGTAAATGCCATTTGGTCCAGAACCCCCATGCGCACGGACTCAGGTACCACTAGTGTGAGAGCTAAAGATACAGTTTTCTGATGTTTTCCCACATTTTAGAGAAAAAAAAACAAATTGGAGATGAGAACAAGAGCTTCTGGAAGGCCCACCCCAGAAAAGACACAGAATGACTTCCGTCCCCTGAAAACACCCCCACCCCTGCTGCCAGCACCCCTGTTCCTCTGTGCCTCACTGGGGCACCCAGAGAGGCAGACCCATTCCAGGAATGCCCAAGTGCTCATCCACGGTGGACACATGTTCTTGGAGAGGAGTGAGCCAAGGTCACTCTGGGGGACGGGCAGAAAAGGTTCAAGCCCACTTGGGGGCATACAGAGGGCAGGCAGGGATCACAAAGCTACGAGCCCAAGTCTCAGTTCTGGCGAAGCATCTCCTGGTCAGCGTCCCCTCCAAGAACAGCACAGGACCATTCTGGGCTAGGAAGCCCCCCAAGGGACCCTGCTGGCTGGGCTCCAGTTTTTGCAGAGTAGGGTGGATTTCATCCCAAGACACAGTGACCATCCCTAGGACCCGACCCCTAGGGAAGGGCACTGGTAAGGGCCTGTGTGCCAGCACTAGGGAGCCTGCTCCGATCGCCAGGCCCCAGAAGCCCAGGCACTGTTGGGCGCCGCACCAATCATGCATGAGGAAGTGATTCGGGCAGAGGCCAAGCAGGCAAGCGCTGAGGTGTACCTGGCATCTTTCCCGCTAGTGGGGCACACAGGCCCCTGGCCACCCGGGTGTGCCCGACAGTCCTCCCGCTGCTCCGACCAGAGCCAGTCCAGACAGGGGGCACGAGAGATGGTCCTGGGGAGGAGCCTGGGAAAAATAAACACCCTGCGGGACTTGTGCCGGGCAATCCCACTGACCTCGCTCCCGGGGCGACAGCCCAGAGCCAGCCTTGTGGGGTGGCCAAGCCCGACAGGTCAGAGGCTAGAGCAGAGCTTCCCCACTTGTGGTGCTCGCTCCGGCCTTCTGCAGGCCCTGCCTTCCTTCTCCTGTTCTACATGCTCCCGGCCCCAAACTCAGGCCTTCTTGCACAGTGAAGCTCAGGGAGGCGAGGAATTGGTAGGGGGAATACATGGTGGGCATCCGGAAGCGATGAGCTGCACCAGGAGCCTGCTGTGCCCGCCGAACTGGGCAGCCCACATCCCCTTCAGCTTCTTGTGGCAGGATCACGTGAACACAGATCTGCAGGGGGGTCCCCACCCCCAACTCTACTACCGTGCTGCTCTGGCCTGAGGACTGCTCGGGGGCTACTTGCTGCCCACTGCATAGTCTGCACAGGCCTGGCACCTCACAAGTGCGGGACGGGGGGGCGGGGGGTGGAGGATAGAAAACAGCTCCTAGCACTGTCTGTCACCACGAAGTAACTGGGGAGGTGGGTGGGGGGGAGGTCAAGCTCATCATTTTTTGTTGTCGGTTGTAGGGCTTGAACTCGGGGCCTGGATATTGTCCCTGAGCTCTTGAGCTCTTTTTTTTTTCTTCTCAAGACTAGTGTTTCACCACTTTGAGCCACTTCAAGTTTTCTGATGGTTAACTGGAGATAAGAGTCTCACAGACTTTCCTGCCCGGGCTGGCAAGGAAAGGAGTAACAGAGCTTTGCTCTCAGTCTACAGACGAGAAAAACAGACTCAAAGGAAGGAGCGACGTGGCAGGGCAGCTCTCTGGCACGGCCGCTAGGGCTTCGGCCTCTGCCGAGGGTGGCTATGTTGTCCCGTCCCCCCACTGCTAAGTTGCACCTATGCCGAGGACAGCTCCGCGTGGCTCTCACCTAGAGGTCTATTTCCCCAGGAGTCCTCATCACAGGGGACCATCAGACCTTCGGACATTTCCTCTATGAGCTCTCTCTCCCCACTGTCAGAGGGTGAGAATCTGGCTGACGGCCCCTGCTTGGACCCCAGTACCCCACACAGCACTGTGGGCCTGTGGTAGGCTCAGTCAAAACAGCCTTCTGTGATGCTTAAGGGGATCTGGAGTCAAGATAAGCAAGATACAGAATTCAAGACGTGTCACCTGCACCTGCAGAGTTCCTAGCTCACTGGGGATAACTACTGTTTGGCCTTTTGCAGAAATCTGCTAACCCTGCACTGTATACTAGAAAGTATCACTCCTGCCAAGAGGAGCATCTAGTAGGCTCCTGTGTATTGCTGTGTCAGAGGTCAAGGTGGGCAATAAGGGACCCACCCTGCAGAAAGGGGGAGCAAGGAGAGCAGCCTGGAATGTGAACCCCAGGCAGAGAATCCAAGTGCATTCCCGCGTCGTCCTTGGCAGTTGGCGCAAGCCCATCTGACCTCAGCTCTCCTGCTAAGAGCTTCACCCTCGAGACGCCAGGGGCTGTACGAGCTGCACACCTGACTTCGGAGCTGCTGACACAGAGTAAATGGAAGTGGGTCTGAGAGGCGAGAGAGAAGGGTAGCTGTGGAGAAGACAATCCCTGCTCTATCCCAAGAAGGGCCTCATGTCCTAGTGTGGATGCAATGAACGCTGCTACCTGCCATACTGGGCAGGGGCGCCCCCTTTCTAGCTCATCCAGAGCTTGGGGGCTGTGTGGTTACATGCATCTGCCCCAGAAAGAGCACACGCGGGAAAGCCAAAACACACCACTTTACCCCAGAACCCTGTGGGCACAGAACAAGAAGCACACACTACAAGCTACTAGGCCCTCACGTGGCACTCTGGGGCCTAGAAATGGCCATGAGAGAAAACCCGTATGTGAAGAGTCCTGGCTTTGTGCTCCAGCTCCCAGTGCGGGGCAGACACTGGCCTAGCACTTTACAAGCAGGGAGAGAAAGAAGCAAACAAACACTTCAGTAAATAAGAATGGAAATCTGGTGCTCAGCCTTTTAGAGATGAAGTGATTTGGTGCTGGACTGGGACTCAGTGTGTCCTGCACACTACCACCACGCTGCAGCCCTATCCCTATTCTTAGCTTACTGCACTTTTCATAGCCATAAAGAAGGTGTTAAAAAAAACAATAAATTTGGGTCTAAACTCAGGAGTCTTGTTCTCCCTTGGCAGGCACTAGCCCTTGAGCCATGCCTCCAGCCCTTTTGCTTCAGGCATTTCTTTGGTAGGGTCTCATGTTTCTGCCCAGGGCTGGCATCAGACCATGGTCCTCCTACCCTAGAACTGGGAACTGCAGGCATTCACCACCTGGCTTTTTTATTGAGATGGGTTCTCAGTAACTTTTTGCCTGGGCTAGTCTTGAACCATGACCCTCCCAATCTCCATCTCCTGAGTAGTCACTGCACCTGGCCAAAACATGGATTAAAAAAAAAAAAAAACCAGGAAAACGCTAAAGATGACATAGTAAAAAATGTCATTTTTTTTCCCCCATCTACAATTTGGAAACTGCCTCTTGGCAGCACACATCACATGTGCTTTTCCCATCCTTCCACGGCCCCCGTGAGCCGTGCTGGGCCAGCTTCAGGGTGGGCTGCCCTGAACTCTGTCTCAGAAGGCCACCTGGACTCAGAAGGGAAATGAAAATTGATGCTCACTTCCAAAGTGCTACTGCAAAGAAAATAGTGACCCAAGGGAAGAATGGTGGGGCGGGGACAGTAAGAGCAGCTGCCTGGATGTGACGTGAGTGAGGACAGGAGTCTCGGGCAGGACGGGAGGGAGGTGCACCTCTGCTTGCTCAGATGGAGACGGAGCCGCTTGGACCAGCCAGTGGCTTCACAGAGGGCATTTCCTTGCAGGGAGGGGTAGGCAACTCGCTTAGTCACCGCACCAGGCAATGCAAGGATCCCTGGAAAGCTACATTCATCCCCAGGCACCGATCTTGTTCCAAAGAGCTTTGGAACTTGTTCAGAGAAGCTTCAGGGCCATCACAGCATTGCTCTGAAGAACCCCATCACAGCAAATCTTTAACTGAGAGTTAAGTAGTCTTTTTGCCATAATCAAGGTTTAAACCCAGGCTCTTGAGTTGCTTGGCCAGCCTTCTATTACTTGGGTTATGCCTCTAGACTAGCTTTTTGCTGGATTTTTTGGTGATGAGTGTCTCTCCAACTTTTCTGCCCAGGCTGAGCCTGAATCATGATCCTCAGCACTCGGCCTCTTAAGTAGATAGGATTATAGGCATAAGCTACTAGCGCCTGGTGTCAGTTTTTAAATGGCCAAGGACAACTAGTGGCTGGCCTGGATGAAAGTGAGCAAATGGCTGAACCTCAGTGGGGTCCACAGTCTGTTTCCTACAGAACCAGCTCCAAGGCCTCAAGGATAACAGCATTGGGAAAACACTACCGCCACGTGACATCGATTCAGAGCCCACTCACTGACAAGGGGTGAGGACACGGGAGGGTGACTATACCACTCACTGGCCTGAGGCTCCCCAAGGGGAAATGCAGAGTGGATGTGCCTTGGGCCACAGCTAACTAACACTCGGTGAACTCATGTGGAAAGGGCAGCAGGGCAGAGTGGCGGGCACACCGGCTCTCCTCCCACGAGGACCCTAGAGAGCTGGCCAGCCACGCCCTCTCATCCCTGTAAGGTCCAGAAAAGGTCCTGAGTGTGGGGAGCTGTTGGGGGCTACCTGGAGTTCCCAGTGGCTCTGACGGCTGCAGCTTATTGTGGGCTGGTTAGAACAGGGGTCCCCAACTTCTTCAGCATGAAGTCATCTCTCCACCACTCCAGGAGTAGCCCACCCAGCCCCGCCCCAGGATCTGGCACAGCCCTGGCCAGCAAAGGGGCGTTACCTGAGGTGCCTGCGGAGAAGTTCTTGAGTGAGGGTCTCTGGACCACGGTGTATGACTCGCCCACCACAAACACCTTGTAGAGCACAGCATTGTGGTTGATGAAGTTCTGGACCACGCAGGGTGGCTGGATGGCACTCAAGCCCTCCTGGTTGAACACGATGGCCATCTGGGGAGACAGAAACCAGAAGCTGCAGCAGTCCATTGCCCTCCAGCCTCCATCCAAGTGCTCGTCACCTACCCAGGGCGCCTCCAGCAATGCCTGTCCCTGGCTCTGCTGCTGAAGACTCCCCCAGGAAGGGTCTCAAGCCAGAGGGAGAGGAGTGGGGTGCAAGAAAGCACCTGTAGATCAACTCATTTGTGCTGCGGGCCCTGGGAAACCCCACATCCATTGGGCTGCCATGGAGAGTTGAGAGGTCGCACAATGCATTCTTCTCTCTAGGCCAGGCAATGAGGCCTTCTTAGGGTGATACATATGACACTCCAGAGGTTCTTCCACAAAGACCCAAGAAGTAAGACAGGAAGTGGAAGAATATAGACCAGGAGTTGGAGGCCTTTAGTCAAAACTGCCTCTTGCTGAGCACACATGACCCTCAGGGTACAGCTGGTCATCAATGGCTTCTGTGAGCCACCTGGGTCTCCCTCACAATGCCCTAATGAAGAAACTGAGGCCCCGAGCAGCTCCTGCTGAAGACAGTGCGGGGATGGGAATCGGGGCTGCCTAGCACCCAGCCCTGCTGATCGCGCAAGATGATCAAAAAAGAGGAGCATGCTCTTGTGAGCCCCGTCCCCAGCTCCTCTGAGGACAAATGTGCCAGATGGAAGGCAGGGTGGGACTGAGACAGGGCGGGCAGGGGCGCAGCTGCGTCCTCTCCACTCTCCCCGAGGCTGGTCTGCAGAATGGTGGGGCGGGGGGGCTGGTGTGCCCCTTGGGGCCAGCTGCCAGTGCCAGGCCACGCTAGTCCCCAACCTACAGGGCACAGAAAGCAGCCACATGCATAGTCTCAGGCTGCTGAGCAGCCTAGATGGCTGGCTACTCACACTAGGTGCTGCCCTGGTGCCAGCAGGCATGGAGTGCCACCCTGCATGCCTGGCACTCAGCTGGGCAGGACGTAACCGAAAGCCGGGCTGTGTGGCGAAAGCACAAAGTGCTTAGCATATGTGCGAGGAAGGCTGGAAATGACCCTGAGCCTGTGTAAGGGGCAGGGAGGGACCCAGGGCGCTGGACTCTGTGGCAGTTTATGTGCACAGCACAGGCCATGCCTGAGCCCCACTGTCCTCATCTGTACAACAGCACCCACAGCTATCAGGGAGGCTGTGGGGTGCACTGAGCTGAGGGGAACAGGGAGACAGGGAGGGAGGGAAAGGGGTGACTGAGCTTATCCATCCTGGTCTAAGCACAGCAGCATTCACACACACACTTGCACACTGAAACACAAGTGTTATTTGGGGTAGCAGCTGTTGGGAGTGGGCGGGGTAGGGACTGTAGCTGCTCTGGAGTCTGCTACTTCCTCCTGGGTCTGCTCATGCAGCCTGCTCCAGGCTGCCGGGGTGGCAGAGAGCCTGGGCAGCCATGGCATGGAGAGAGTGCCCACAGTGGACGCCAGAGGCTTCTGACCTCAGCAGACAGCTGCCCTTTGCCGCAGGCGATGGCTTCCTTCCCACGGCAGAGCCAGCCCTGTCATAGCCTGTCCCTTGCTACTCTGACACTGCTGTTTATAGACGTTTCCCCATAAATATCTGCCCGAGACAAGAATGCAGTCCAAATCTGCTAAGGTCACTGCGGCCAGGTTTCCATGCTTAGTCCTCACTGGGGGAGCACAACACTCCCCTGGGACCAGCTTTCCCCAGCCTGTGGGGAAAAGAACCCCATACAAATACCTCCTGGGGCTTAGGCGGGGCTGTGCGGGATAGCAGCACTGTGTCCAGGGAAACCCCCTGCCCCCTCCCCTCCCGACATGGCCGCCGCTGCTCCTCCGGTCCCAAAGTCCTCACATGCGTGCTGTCTTCCAGCACATCCTGCAGGGGCTCCTAGGCAGGGCCCTACCTGATTTACCAGCTCCCTGGTGCCTGTGCGGGAGTGCAGGGGGGGGAGCGGGGAGGGGTCAAGCATGGCTGGGGGGCCGCCTGCCCTCTCCAGCTGCTCTGAGCCAGCAGCACCAGCAGAGCTTCCTGTCAGCAGCCTTCCTGGGCTCAGCCCAGAGCCGCCTGCCAATGACCAAAGGACAGAAAGTCGGGGACAAGCTGAATGGCTGTGCCTTCCCTGGGTGATGTGTGTGTCCCCCGAATCCCTAAGCTGAGCCCCTCACCCTAGCGAGGTGGTATGTGAAGGTAAATGATGGCTGAGAGGTCTCAGGGGTGGGCCCCTCCCTGTGGATTCGGGGGCCTTTAGAGTAAGCTCTTGGGTCTCCTGGTGCCTCTGCTTGGCTCCTGCCCGCCAGGGAGCTATGACTACAGCAGGCTAGGCATGGCTCGGCCTGCAGAACTCAGCAGGGTCCCAGGAGGAAATGGCGGACAGGGGTGGGGAGCAGGGCAGACAGTCGAGTCCTCCACTCACCTCGTGAGAGTTGGTGCCATGGGCCACTCTAGTTTTGCAAACTGTAGGAGGAAAAAGAAAAACAGAGAGAAATTAGGAGGACCATTCACCCATACAGACACGGGGCAGATATAACAGGAGTGGGTGCTTCCAGAAAATTCTTAGAATCCCTGCAGCCAAAAGGCGGAAGAGGCAGGTGGGAGCCGAGATACCCTGGTGACAAATGTCTGCGTTCAGCGCCTATGGACAGACGCGCACAGGCCAGGCAGGAAGTGTGTCCTCGGTCTACATGTGAGGACCTCAGCGGTGTGACTGCAGATGGCACCCGGCGCCTCCCCATTCCAATGCCCGCCAGGCAGATGCGGTACGTACTGAAGGGGAATGCCAGGCCGTTCTCTTCCAGCAGCCTCATGGTGTCATCCCCGCACAAGCTGGTGAGCTCCATGAAGGGTGGTGAGCAGATCCGCTCGTCTAGGGCAGAAGGAAGTTGACTGGTCAGCACCCTCCTGGGTCACCCACAAGCCCGCCCCTGCCCCTCCCAGCCAGACTGCCCGAGCTCTGCAATCCTGTGTGTGTGTTTTGGTTGGTCATGGGGCTTGAACTCAGGGCCTGGGAGCTGTCCCTGAGCTTTTTTACTCGAGGCTAGTGCTCTACTACTTTGAGCCACTGCACCACTTCCAGTTTTTCTGGTGGTTAACTGGATAAGATTCTCTTGGGCATCTCTGCCTCGGCTGGCTTTGAACTGTGGCAATGCTCAGATCTCAGCCTCTGGAGAATAGTTGCTAGGATTAGATGCAGAAGCCCAGCGCCCGGCTTTCATTTCACTTTCTAGTAAATATGTTAATAGTTACAAGATTTGTACATGCTAATTGGGAAATCTGAAAAGCATAGAAAAAATACAGAAAGTCATAATCACAGATACATAACTAATTTCTCAGCCTTTATTTTAAATGCGCATATATTTAGACATCGAGGGGCCGTGTAACAGGGTACTATTTTGACATCTTTTTTTTTTTTTTTTTTAACTGAGGGGAGGTTCGTGAGACAAGGTCTAACTACGTAGCCCAGGCTGGTTTCAAACTTGAAATCTTCCCGTCTCAGCCTCCCAGGTGCTTGAAGTACAGCTGAGGCCCATCACACCCGATTTGGAGCCTACGCTGAGGGCCAGGCACCTGATCACGGGCATCCCCCGGCACGGACAGCGGAACCCTTCAGCCTTCCACTCCCAGCGCTCTCAGGCCTGCTCCCTACATCCCTCCAGCAGCTACACATCGGGCAGGCTGCACCCCTGCCTCATGCTTTCCTCGGTGCCCACCCCGTGGATCCAACACTGGGTTCAATTTTGGGGAAAGTTGTGGAAGTCGGGTTGCTTTATAATCATGGCGTACCTGTGGCTGGGTACTGAAGGGGGCGAAGACAACCACTACTGTTACTGGTGTGCTATTGCTGCTGCATAGTCCTCTTCCCTGAAAAGACCAGGAGCTCCCAGGAGGTGGGACCACCCTGTGCTTCTGGGCACAGAGGTCAGGAAAGGCCGAGCATGAGTGGGGCCTGCCACCCACAGACTTGGAACCCAAACGCAAAGCGAACCAGTAGAGTGCTGTCCCCAGAGCTTTGAACTGCTTGGCTAGCCGGGAGGTCTTACTTAGCTCTGAAAACCATGGCAAGACCTGTATAGGCGTATCAAAGTGTCTGTGCTTCCCTCGTCACCCAACCCTGCAAAGTCCATGCTCCAAACAGCCACGACATCTCGGGGTGCTGGGATGTCTCCAGGCCCTGGGAGGAGGTCGGGAGCCAACAATTGTGTGCTCTCTGCATGGAGCAGTTACTTCACCCTCAACGTGCTATGACAGCCCCTGGTGGCACAAATTCATCACTGCCCAGGTCACCCAACAGTCCGCAGCACGGCAGGCACAGGCTGACCTCGCAGGGCAGCAGAAGAGAAGTCAGGAAAGCCAGGTGGGGGAAGCGGGGGAGAAGCAGGTCCTAATACACAGCTTGAGCCATTATCCAAACAAGGGCCCCATCTGCATCCCCTCCAGAAGCAAGGTCTGGGCAGAAAGGCTGGAGAGGGCTGGCACAGCCTCGCACAGCCTCCCAGGGAGGAAGCAGCTTATACAGGAGGCTCACTGCTGCAAATGCTTGCCCAGGCACATGCTCAGGCCCAGACCCACTGCAGGATTCTGCAATAAGCAGGCTGAAGACCAGAGCTCCCTAGCCCAGCAGATCCTGGCTCCCATAGGGAACAGGACAGGACCTGGCCCACCTCTCCCTCCCAGGAGATTCCACAGCTGCTGGAGAAAAGGCCAGCTCCTGTAAGAGCTTCTAGAACAACCCCCACATACACCAGAATTATCAGAACAGGTACACTAGCCTGCCTTCCTGGCCTTTCAGATTTTAGTACCTCTCCCCTCACAACTCCTCTTATTTATTTATTGTCGTGGGGCCTGAACTCTGGGCCTGGGCACTGTCCCTCAGCTCTTCAGCTCAAGGCTAGCGCTCTACCACTTGAGCTACAGTGCTACTTTCAGCTTTCTCTGCTTATGTGGTGCTAAGGAATTGAACCCAGGGCCTCATGCATGCAAGGCAAGCACTCTACCATTGAGCCACCTTCCCAGCTCTCAAATTTTTATATAATGTAACACTACCACCAACATCTCAATCCACTGCCTGCATGCCACTGTTCACGTAACTACTGTAGCTCACTGCCCTCTGAGGAGCCCCATGACGTAGCCCACAGCCACCCCCTTTTACAGATGAGCAAATGGAGGCAAGTGGTGTGGCTAGGGTACCTGCTGGGCACGCTAACCCTCAGTGCACACTACTGACCACAGTCCCTGCCCCCATCAGGAAACATGCCCACCAAGAGCCTGGCTCTCAGTTTTAGGAATCACTAGGTTGGAAACACATCCCTCACCGTAAGGACCAAACTCAAATGTACAAAAAACATTTGAGCCAGGTGTTGGTAGCTCACACCTGTAATCCTAGACAGTTGAGATCTGGTTCAAAAGCCAGCCTGGACAGGAACTGCTGAGAGATTCTTATCTCCAATTAACCACCAAACAACAACAACAAACAACAAGAAAACCAAAACCAAACCAGACACGGAGCTGTGGCTCAACGGGTAGACTGCAAACGTTGAGCAAAAAAGCTCAAGGACAGCACTCAGGCGCTAAGTTTAAGCTCCAGGACAGGTGTATGTGCATGCGTGCACGTACACACGTACACACGTACACACACACACACACACACACACACACACACACAGCGCATCTGACAAACTCTAATGCTCTTCTCTGGTAAAAGCAATCTAAGTCTGAGGTGAAGTCCCAGAAGGGACAAAGGGAGCCATCTTTTCCCAGATATGTCTGGGAAAAGTTCAAGAACAAGAAGACATTTCCACTGAGCCACCTTCCCAGCTCTGAAGACATTTCCAAACGAATGGGTTGCATGGAGCGCTAGCTGGACTCGCAGCGTCCTTCACTGAGCCTCCAATGGAAGACGGCAGCCTAGGTGGTTGCAGTGGCCAAGTGGGCCAGGAAAGAGAGGGTACATCCGCCTGCTCAAGCTCCTGATCTGGTGCTGGCTGCCCACACGCTGAGCCCCTCTGGCTGCCAGTCTCTCTCCTCACTTGGGAAGAGGGCAATGAGACTGAGCGGCCCAGCGGGGAGATGCTCCTATCTCAAGCTCAGGGCCTGGCCTGAGCCACAGGAGCAGGACTGAGCCAGGGCAGCCCGGAGCCTGCAGAGCAGACTCAAGCCTTACCAGGCCACAGACCACAAGAGCCCCAACTGCTCTGGCCTCTGACCCCAGTGTCCAGGCTGCATGAGCCCATTTCTGGCCTCCACTCATGTCGACCCAGCCATCAGCCCCCCTTCACAGGGAGAAAGTGGCCCCAGGCAGAGGGAACGAGGGCCAGGGCCCAACGCTCAGTGCAGCATATATGGCGGAAGGCACAGAGGTCACCAGAGGCTGGGGGCAGGACCACGACCTATAGCACGCAGGTGGGTACCGTGGCTGCCTTCACTGGCCAGAGGTGCTCAGTGCAACCCTGCCATCTTCCTCCCGCAGACACACCAGCCTTGCCCACACAAGGACAGCAACAACCTCAGGCAGCTCAGGCCGGCCTCCGCCGCGGCCAGCACCTTGTCCCCCCTCTGATAAGGCAGTGCTGGGAGCCCTCCAGGCTATTTCTGTTCCTGGAAAAAAGGCTACTGTTGCTTATTTAACTGTCATCTTTATTTCTGGATGAGAGTGGAAAGAGGCTTTTTTTGGTCAGATGGTGGACTGTGTTCTTCTGAGAGCTGTAACATCAGCCCTGGGAAATAGCAAGGCTCCATCTTGCCTCTCTGCTGCCTGGACCAGAGAGCAGGAAGCCAGAGGGCCTGTGGAGAGGACCAGGCCCCAACCATGTGCTCTCCCAAGTTCACAGCAGGGAAGACTGTACTACCATGCCACAAACACTTGATAACCGCTGTCCCGTTCACTCTACAGGTGCCACAGAATTTGCAAGAAAGCAAAAAGAGCCAAGCACAGGTGGCTCACATCTGTAATCCTAGCTACTGAGGAGGCTGAGATCTGAGGGTCACGGTTCGAAGCCAGCTTAGGCAGGAAAGTCTGTGAGGCTCTGATCTCCATCTGTGCACTGGAATTCTCTTGCCTGTCTTCTGCGTAGCTGGATGACAGGTACCAGGCCCAGTTACTGGTCTTTTCAAAAGTTTGGCCAGGCTGGCCTCAAACCAATCCCTACCTCACAGGGAGCTGGGATTAAAGCACCAGCCACTGCACCTGCTCTTACAGCACCACTTCTAACAGCATCCTGGAGAGGCCAGGGAAGACTCCTTGGGCGGGAGCAAGGTGAAAAGGCTTGCGTAAGGTTCAGGTTCCAGTCTGTATGAATCCCATGCTGCAGCTGCTACAGCCATATGGGTCTCCCCAGGCTTCCGGCAGAACGGAGGGTCAGGAAGGCACAAGCATGATGGCCACGGTCACGGCTGCGGCCCTGGCAGGTGGGTAAATAAACCATGAATGAAGCACCAGCCAGGCGGCTGCCTACCCTGCTCAGAGAGAGGAGGCGCTCACAGGCCTCCGGTGCCGGGCGCCGCAGCTGCATCTCTCAGAGCTGGGCCCAGTTTTGCTTTCTTGGCCATTCCCTGTTCCCAGGGCCCTGCTGTATGGCAGGAAGCAGCCTCATTCATGCGGGGGCCAAGCAGGGGCCATTGTGCCCAGGGTGTGGCAACATAATCCAGGTTCTCACTGAACTTTCCAAAATCAAGAGCTGAGCAGAACCTGAGCATGCCAGACCTGCCCGCCCTGTAGCCCTCCCTCTGCCCCCTTTGCGGCCTGGGAAAGTCCTGCTTCTCCCTTGAGATTGCCCCGGTCAGGCCACTTCCCTGGTCTAAGCAGCTTCTTGGAGCACCCTCCCCCACAATCCGGGAGGAGCTCCCTCTGCTGTGCGCACCACCCCATCT